CCCCAAAACCCCAAAACCCCAAAACCCCAAAACCCCATTCTGTAAAGAATTATTAGAAATTTTACTAATTTAGCCTGAAATGGAAAAGCAAACAGATATTCCCCTCCTTCCACTCAAGGTAGCTAATAATTCGCTTTATATTCTTACAAGAAGTGCTCCAAATCTCTCGTGGAAATAACTTGAAAATATAGAACTCTGAGTCAAAAACTACTAAAAATTGCCTTGATCAAATTGAATCATTTATAAAAGAGAAGAATACCACCTGTAAAAAATTTGACTCGCACCTAAACCCTCTGTCAGTTCTCCACTTTTTCAACATCCTGAACACTGTAGTCATCCCGCAAATATTACAGGAAGCTGATGAGATTCTTGCTTCTCAAAATTGAGTGACCAAAATACTAAACTCTCTTATTTCAGTTATCAACCTCAGATCAAGCTATCTAGAACAGATGCACAAGATAATCCTCATCAGAGAAGCAGAGGAGAGCCGCCATGTTAGAGATCTAGTGCTCAGCACCATCAGGGCTGATATCCGGGACGAGTCTCTCCAGGCTAGTCTTGAGGACCTCCTCCAGACTTTGACCGTCAAGTATGAAGAGATGGTATTTACCAAAAATATCAGCAGATGAACCTATGGTAAGCTTCCTAAGCAACTGCTCGTTCTCATATTTCAGTAGATGAAACATTGAACTGTAAGGAAAGTAGAAATCTGAGTACTTATGAGTCTTCTAGACTCATAAGTATCGAGTCTTGTAATTTAACCCCAAGAAATGTAGAATTTGAAAACTATGAAGAGTCCAAACAACCTCAAGATAGTGACAGAGATATCCAAGAACTTATTGAAATCAAAGAGAATAACGAAACTCTTTCGTCTATTGAGCAGGAGCCTGAAGGCGGAATCTGGATGATTACTAGTCTGATGTCATTCGTTCTAATGTTAGGAAAGTTGATAGTATTTGCTCCTTTCCTTATCCTTGGACTGTTGATCAAGCTTTGCTTCAGAATTTGCTTCAAGATCCCTTACCAAACTGCGAAATACATTACTCAGAAGGTATTCTGTTGCAATAGAAAAGGTTGAGAGCTCAAAGACAGTAAAAAGTGACAGAATTAGCCAACCTTAAGTATTCTCATAATCTATTTTCAACTTTGTCATTCTACATTGGGGTTTTGGGGTTTTGGGGTTTTGGGGTTTTGGGG